GGAGATAATATTCTGATATCCCACTCTTAGCACACAGGCGTTCTTATCATCGCCCATAGACCCCACCATCCAACTTATAACCACGCTCGATGATCCACATATCCCTACATTTGGATATAAGCACTTATATTTGGATATAAGCGTGCGAGACTACTTCATCGAGCGAGAAAAAGTAAAGAAAACCAAACAAAGGGAAAAGAGGGGAAGCTGACCCAAGAAGACATTTCAAGTTCTTCCACTATAGTAAGCACATAAAGCCAAAGAATGACTCTTAAAATCTCTAAAAAAAACAGTAAATGAATTGACACTTAAATGGTGGACAAAACCCTCCAAAAACAGTGAACGAATAAGCCCAACACCTGCATTTAAAGGCTCCAAAACCGTAAGCAAATCAAGACTTAAATGACACACAAAGCTCTCCAAAAACAGTGACGAATGGGCCTAAAAATCTACATTTAAAGGCTCCAAAACAGTAAACAAATCAACAATTAATTTGGGCACAAAACCCTAAAAAAATAGTGAACGAATGGGCTAAAAAATCTGCATTTAAAGTCTTCAAAACAGTTAGCAAATCAACACTTAAATTGTGCACAAAGCTTTAAAAAAACTATGAACAAATTGACCCTTAAATGATTCACAAAGCCCCCCAAAAACGGTGAACGAATTAGCCCAAATGGCTCTAAAACTGTAAACAAATCAACTCTTAAATGACGCACAAAGTTCTCTAAAAAAACAGCGAACGAATGAGCCCAAAAATCTGTATTTAAATGCTACAAAACAGTAAGCAAATCAACATTTAAATGGGGCACAAAGGTCTCCGAAAATAGTGAATGAATTGACGCTTAAATGGTTCACAAGGCCCCCAAAAACAGTGAACGAATGGGCCCAAAAATATGCATTTAAAAGCTCCAAAATAGTAAGCAAATCAGAACTTAAATGTTACACTGAACTCTCAAAAAACAGTGAACGATTTGGCCCTTAAATGGTTCACAAAGCCCCCCAAAAACAGTGAACGAATTGCCCTTAAATGGTTTAGAAAGCCCCCCAAACATAGTGAACGAATCAGCCCCATAGTTGCACATAAATCTTTTCTGAATAGTCATGAAATCAACAAATATCCATTAATTCGTACATAACAAGATGAAATGATTTTCAAAGCAAACATATAGCATGCATATTTGAGGAACCCTAAAACCTTTTGTTTTCTTTTTTTTGCATTAAATTTAACCAATTTCTTCTTATCTCGTTCTTGTTCATGCATGAAAGAACAAGAAGTTAGATAAGGTAGGATTGCGTGAACCAAAGCAAATAAGATCAACATTTAAAGGGACTACTTAAGATAGATTCTCCAAATAATGTATCAACTGCAAAGCGCAAAGTTAAGAAAGCATTTGAATATGGGAAAGATAACGAGAAACATTGCATGCATAATTTTTACCATATCTCAAAAGATTCTCCACATTTGTTTAAACAAGATCATGGTAACCCAAAAGACAAAAGGCAAGACCAAAAATGAAATGCAGTAATCCGAAACTGCATATTGGACCATCAAATGCCAAAGTTACTTCAAATTTTTTTTTCTTGAGGGAGAAACTTTTCATCATTGCCTAAAATGAACCTCTAGCCATTGTTGAATAAGAGATGAATCTTTATGTCTCAAAATAGTAACAATAAGGAATTTCACAGATTCAAGAAAGCTTTTGACCACAACCTAAACCAAATATTTCACACATCGGAGAAGAAACAGAAGTATAAACCATTGTTTGTGATCAAAAAGAAGAAAAGGCAAGAGGGAGTTTAGAGTTTCATGTTCCTCAAAGATTTGCCTCCTCACTAGCTCCAATCGTGACTGGTATGCGGGGCTGCTCGCTGGTGAGAAGGGATTAGGGAGTTCGGTCGGCGTGAGCTGGAGGAGCAGGGGGCGGCGCAATTGAGAGCTACGGTGAGGAAGAAGCAAATAAGGGAGAGGGTGCGGCTGTGTGAAGGAGAATCAAACGGGGAGTTTTTTTTGGGAGAAAGGAGGAGAGTCGGTGCAGTTAGGGCTTTTTGGGGTGGAGGGGAGTCGAACGAGAAGGAGGCTAGCGAGGGAGAGAGTTTTAGTGTCGAGAGGGAGAAGGAGAGAGAGAGGGAGTGGGAGGTGCGATCTTGTATGCCGGGAGTTCCTGAAAGAACATTACACGACATTAGGTGGGAAGAGGATTTTCCATTCGTGGAGGAACTCAATTTGCTAGATAATAACTCCTAATAAAACTCAATTATGGCGAGATTGAGCGGCTTATTTTGAAATTCAAAATTTAAAATTACGAATTGTGTTATTGCGCGATCTGGTGTTATTGGCTCGTGTTCAACCCAAATCTAGCCTCAGATGAGCCTAAATCCTCCTCTTTTAATTAATTCTTTTTACGCGTCAATTTTTATGTCGTTTGCTCGTGCACAGAAACATGAAAATATGGGTGTCCTTTCTAAATGAAACCGACATGTCGAACGCGCTCGCTCTGTTCGTTTTGTCACCCGAGATCATTTGAACAAGTTCGTTGACGGTCGGGCTAAATTAAGTTAGCATTGCGTGTGGTGCAGTGAATGACATTCGTCGATCCAATCGAAGTCGTCCAACTCGCAAAATGTCAATCGACCCTTGCTTAAGTGACGACCAATGTCTAACAGAATGCTTTCGACGGTGGGTCGTTCGGTTCGTGCCGAAGAATATCAAATTCACGTCGTGAGAGTTTTTTTTTTTAATTTGTTTGAATTTAATTCTGGTGCCAGTTAGTGAATTGTGTGACAATTATGGTGTATATGTGTGTGAATGTGTAAATTGTAGTGTTCGTGAGTGTTCAAGTCACAAAGGGTTTCTCTAGGGCTGTTCCTATTCTTGTAGGAACTCAACTTGAGCTTTAATAAGTCGGATCTAATGACTCAGCAAAATGTCGAGGATTTGAAATCACCCACATGAGACTCAAAGGAGTAAAGAAGTGGCTCGAGTTTTCTAAATGGCGTGGGTCGTCCCAACACTATTCCTTTATGAGGGTCAAACAAAAAAATCCTAAGGCTAGATCCTAGGGTCTAAGGGGAATACTAGACCTCACCAAAAATGAGGCCAACAATGAGTTCAACATGAGCGAGACATGTTTATTTGTACTCCTTAGGTAGTCATTTTGAGTTATCCCCTAAGTCTGAAGCAGAGCAAGCACACATGTGGAAAACTCTGTATGTTTTAGTAAGTCTGATGTATGCTAGGATTGGTACTAGAGCAGGTATTGTATATGCAGTGAGAGTGGTCAACAGATACATGAGTAATCCAGACATGCATCATTGGAATGCGATGAAGTGGATTCTTAGATATTTATGAAAAATAGTCGATACGACACTTTGCAAGATTTGTAGAATCAAATCTGCTAGAAGATGGGTTGTTATTTTCAGAGAAGATACAAATAACTCAATCATGTAGAGGTGCTTACAAAGCTGGTGGATATCCATGAAGGTCGAGACCGGGGGCGAGCGATATCACAATACGTGACTAAAAAGATGATAAACATTGAGGTTCAATCTGGAGGACGGATGTTGGGTGTTATCGGTCTACAAGTGAGAGATTATTGAGGTATGAAGTGTGGAAGAGCACCCAAACTGCAAGGAAGCAGCCAAGTAGCAGATCAATCACACATGAGAGTTTTTTGGCGTGACGCACCCGTGCTTGGTTGGTGCTCCCACTCTTGTAGATAGTGAGCATGGTGCGCTCCCGCGCCAGGGTCTACAGCGCTCCCACGCTGTATTTCGGGCGCATATGCACCTGGTTCCATAGAGCTTGACATTCCCACACACGAGCGGCACGGGCGCACCTGGTATTGTTCTCTCTTCCGGTGATTCAAGCGACGAAGGTTACGACTTTTGCGTGCGGTGTTTTGACAAGGTTCTCGTGAAGCATAGAAGAATCAAGGAGAAATATTTTGACATGCAGTTTCCCTTGTGAGATCGAGAGGAAGGTTTTGGACAAAGTGTTGTAAGTTCAGTTGATTGTAGAGAGGAGATCTGAGTGAGTATGTCTATACATTTTTTATTCTTCATAGCGAAAATTTTTTGATGGCGTGATCTCATGATTTTTGCCTGTTCGCAGGTTTTTTAATGTTAAATCTTGGTTTATTTTTTCAATAAATTATTTTGCTGTGTTTCTGTTTGATTTTTTGTTTTGAATTTCTCAAATTAATGTGATTTTATTTCGCAATGCAGATTTAATTTCTAATTAATCGAAGTTCTAGAACTATATATAGTTCCATCTCAACGATAATCCAAAGAATTAGTTATACACATTATACCTATTCAATAAAGCGTTCACAGTGGCATCTTACTTTTTTTGGGTCTTTTTCCATTATATGGTTACATAAACGGAGCCCCTCTTAGTGTGAAAGAAGCTTTTGGTGCATACTATAAATTTATGCTATATATAGAACGGGAAAAGGAAAAGATAAAAAAAAAAAAAAAAAAAAAAAAAAAAGGGGAGGGGGCAAATTTGGATGAGGCACATATTTCTCTGTATAAGTCTTCACTATTGCTTAGGAAGTTCAGACTGTTTATGGGCAGAATTTCAAAATGAATTTCTCCTCACTCATAAATGTTAGCTGAATTTACCTTGAATTTTGTTTCACTTTTTTCTTTTTTTTTTAAATGTCAAAATTAGCTAGAACTTAGTCCATTAATTGAAACATGGAGAAAAAAATGTGCAATTTCTGCTGTTCAATTATCATAAGTGGCTTTGCCTGGAACTACAAATAAATGTAGTTTGAACTGTTGAAATTGCTGTTTATATTCTCAGGTTATTGTTGTTATGACTCTTAGGAACAATATTATTATCTCTTTATCTTGCTCTATCTTTCATCATTTCCTCCTTCCGTCTACATCAATATTTTTTTATTACTTAAATAAATACAATGCATCTAAGCTTAATTTGATAGAAAAATACTTGGCATAGTTACTGTTAATTAGTTTCTATTTTTGGATATTCTCAGGTTATGTGTCATTGCTAGGGAAATGACAAAGCTCCATGAAGAGGTATAACATAAAGTGCACTTAGTATTAACTTCTGTGGGTGTTTTCTTTCTCATTTTTGGCCATGCCATCATTCTTTATACGGTTATATTTAATTTTTGTAGGATTATATCTATGTTTGGCAACATCAGTTATCACTGCCTTTGATACTTTATTGTTGTTATGCATGTGATTGAAATGACTCTAGTCATTTGATCTTTCTCCATCTCATAGTAACTGTTTCTGACCAGACATTTAGTTGGCATTGATATTCATTCTTTTGGCTTCAATTCTTATTTAAATATGCATTTCATGGAGCTGCAATTCTATCTTTGTTTTCTTTCATATATTTCTTACTAGAACAATTTGCTATATTTGCTATTGGAAAGCTCTTGTGGAACCGCTTATAAGTAGAATGTAGCTGTGCTTTTAAACTTCAAGGTGACTTATGGTGTAATGGTTGAAATTTCGTTAGAAATTCAGAAGTTAAGCGTGCTCGTGCAGGAGCACTCCTAAAATGGGTGACCTCTTGGTATGTTACACTAATGGAACAAAACCGTGAGTCCATTAGACAAAAATGAACAATATCTTGATGGATGAGGGTTCATGTTGTGACAAGTGGTATCAATGCATTATATAATCATGAAAATAGGAATTAAGTGTCGTGCAAAATAAAGTATTATGGCATGAAAGCCACCTCTTGAACATTAAATGGGATAAAAAGCTTCATAGTGGGAGCCACCTCTTGAATATGTAGTGTCATCGCTAGCATCTTATGTGGATGATTTTGGGTTAAAATTACTTACAAGGATGTCGGTTACTTAAGTAAGGGAGATTATGAAAACTCTAAGTAGATGAAGCTAAACTCTTAAACATAAATGAGCCTTTTGGTATAATGATTGGGCTCTTATCATGACTCCAAAGTTAAGCATGTTCGCACTCCTTGGATGGGTGATCTCCTGGGAAGTTACACCAATGGGACAAAATCATGAGGCCATCAGGTCAAAGTGGACAAATATCTCGATGGATGAGAGCTCAGGCTATGGAAATTGATATCAAAGTATTACACTGACCTGTAGATGGGAACTAAGTGTCGTACAAAATAAAGTGCTATGACATGGGAGCAATCTCTTAAACCTTTGATGGGACAAAATGTTGCATGGTGGAAGTCACCTTGTGAATATGTAGGGGCCAACTCTAGAGTATTATTAGTCTGGTGGATGATTCTAGGTTAAGAATAATGAAGGAGACATCAGTTACTTAAGTGAGGGGGATTGTAAAATCCCTTGAGTTGAATGAAACTGAACTTCTAATCATCAAGACGCCTTTGGTTGTAAATTTTTGAATTTCATCATAAACTCCAAAGTTAAGCATGCTCGTGCAGGAGCACCCTTGGGATGGGTGATTTTCTGGGAAGTTATACCATCGGGATAAAACTGTGTGGTCATTAGGCCAAATCAGACAATCTCTCAGATGATGAGAGTACGGGCTGTGACAGCTTTTGATTAATACAACACCACCTCTCCAACCGTCCTTTCACAGCTGCAGGAAAAACTGATTGAATTTTAGTAAGGAGATGGAATATTGAAATTGGTAGGATATATTTAGGTACTGGAACCTGAATATTTAACAAATAAAATTGAGTGTTGTTAAGGGTCATTAATTCATGACTGTAGCTACTGCTTTATGAGCTCTCTGTTTCATGCTGAAGCAGGTTTTCTGTTTCAGTACAAATCTCAATTTATTATGGCAACATATGTTGTGGTTTGGTTTTTGTTCTTTATTTCACGCGATAAGTTTGGGTTATGTACTTGATTTCACGGGATAAGTGTCTTCCACTAGAAGCAGGTAGGCTGCTGCTAGTTGAGATATTACAGGATTAATTATTGCTGCTGTTAAAGATCTCCTATCACCGCTGATTTGAGTTCTTAGATATAATTAAAATTTGAGTTTTAAGATTCTTTGGAGCAAAATTAGGTTAATCGTGGTCCAACCATATATACTATTTTTGGGATGAAGAGTTTATAAATAGATAGTGTTAGGCATGTAAATCAAGGTTATTGATTTAATTAATTTTCTTATTTTAGTTTAAATCTTGTATGCTCAAATTAGATTTGTGATATCTCTGAGTGCTATATAAACGTGACCATTGAAATGCTAAAAGAAGTAGTCTTCTCATGCTGGCGCAAGGTTGCATTTTTGTAAGTACAACAACAACAACAACTAGCCTTTATCCTACTAAATGGGGTCGCTAAATGAATCATTTTTCTCCATTGCCTCCTATTGAGTGTTATATTCATTTAATTGTAATAGATTAAGATCATTTTTTATACAATATGCCCAAGTCTTTTTTGGTCTACCTCTGCCTTTCTTAACATTAGCTGAAGCTAAAATATCTATTCTTCTAACCGGATCATCAGATGGTCGATGTTTAATGTGGCCAAACCATCGAAGACGACTTTCTAAAATCTTGTCCGCCACTAAAGTTACACCAACCCTATCAAGGATATATTCATTTCGCATTTTGTCTCTAAGTATCAAGCCACTCATCCACCTAAGCATTCTTATCTCAACAACACTTTATGCTTCTCTTTTAAAGGCCAACATTTTGTGCCATAGATCATTGCAGGTCTCACCACCATCTTATAAAATTTTCCTTTCAGTTTAAGTGATATTTTTCTATCACACAATAGTCCCGAAACATTTCTACACTTCAACCAACCAACTTCAATTCTACTAATAACGTCCCTATCTATATCACCATCACTTTGGACAATAAACTTGAGATAATCTAAAATGCTAACACCCTTTAATGATTTGACCACCCATAGTTACAACTCTGCCACTAGAGCTAATACTACTAAAATTATGTTCCATTTATTTTACCAAAGTTTTTTTTTTATTTTTTTTTCTTTTTATCTTATTATTCCTTGCTAGTGTTTCTAATTTTGTTCAAATGTGATATAACCGGGATTTGAATCGTGGTTACTAAATTGTATTTGTTTGTTGATGTTGTGTGATTCGAATTTCTTGTTGATTTCTATGGAATTATCTGATCATTGCTTCTGCATTTTGGTTATAAATCTCGTATGTACCAACTTGTATCTAGAGTAAACAAGTATTTGCGTATAGTTTGGTTTTTGCTCTATGATGCCTAGGTTCCCTTGCATGATCTATGTACATTGCATCATTCTAGTTATATGCGAAAACACTAATGTTCTATCATCTTACATCAAATTGATAGCATAACTTATGATTGTGATACGATCCTGTCGGCGATAAAAAGTTGGGTTGGGGGAGTTGCCCGTAGGAAGCTCTCGGTCACCAGAATCGAAATCCCGTCGCCCACTTCGGAAGGACATTTTAATTTACATATATTATTAAGTTTAGAAAAAAAAATATGAAATCAAACTGACCCCATAATCTTCACAGTTTAAATGAAAGAGTGCTCTATCTCAAATCTTGTATCTATCCCGAGGGATAAACACAAGACTTGAGGATGAGACTCGATCAAATAAATTAAGAAATATATGACGTCCGTTTGGTCTGTGAAACCGTTTTATTTGCCGATAAATTCACTTATTTAATATAAAAAATTAAATAGGGTTTATTTTAAGCTGGGTTCGGAAAAACTTCCTATAAGGGCAAATCCCTATAGTTAATTGCATCTTAAATGACAGAAATCACTTAAGAATACTTTCGATAAAAATCAGAAAAAATTATTTTCAAAGACTCCGAAAGAATGAGACTTTTCAACGAAATCGGACAAAGAAGTGTGAAAGGGGAATGACTTAAATTTGGAACATTTATTACAGAATCCAAAGGAAGAACTAGGGGATGCCACAGATCCAGAGGAGATCCTCGGTGACTTCCCAGTTTACCCTGTGGTTTGACTTCAATTTCGAGGAGAAATATTCAAGTGTTTTATCCTGTCAATTTTATTTATTTAGGGCTTACATTCGTGTGAAGCGATCACACAAATAGCCTGGAAAATGTGAGGATTTAGGTCGTAACGAACGATAACCTCAGAATTCTAAAACGAGTTAGGGCTTAGATCGTATAGTAGAGCTATACAAATGCATAACGAAAAAGTTGAGGATTTATGTTGCGCTAGGCGAACAACCTCGAAATCCTATGAATTGTTTTTAATTTCTAGGAAATGAATGGTTTAGCTGGGGAAGACATGTTCTGCTGTTGAAGATGGTCTTGCTGCCCACTGCACTAGTTCTAAGTTTCTTGTCGTGACGAGTTTAAGTTTTCTAGGGTGTCCGGTTATGATGTCAAATCCAACGGCCCTATGGTTGTAGTTCTTCAAATATTTTTGTAGATAACATGTTAAAGTTGTATAGTGTATAACATAACAGTAGAATATGTAGCACAGGACAAACAGTAGCGTATGCAGTGAAGAAAGTAGTACAATATGCGGTGTAAAGAAAAGTAAAAGGTACAGCAGGGAAGTGATTATAAGAGAATAACATGCTGTAAACATAAAACAAACTTGTATACTTGGGAGATCCGCTGTTCCTTAGGTGTAATTGATGCAACAGGTACAAGCAACAAAATTTGAGGAAGCAGACTGAAATGCTTTATATAAGCAAAAAACAAAGAAACATCGTCTAGAAATCTCGAGAAAGATCGTTAAAAGACTCACGACGAGAGAGAGAGAAATGCGAGGAAATCGAACGAGGAAATCGACAAAGCGACACAAATCAACTAATCGATTAAAATCGTAGAAAACACGGGAAAATCCCAAAAAGTGACCACGAGTGCTTTGTCCAAAAAATTCGATAATACATATGAAAAAGTCCGAAAAGAGAGGACTGCAAGCACTCGGGTCGGGGTTAGGCTCAACTATATATTAGTACTCGAGGGTTGTCGAAGGCTACTCAGTCACCTGGATGTTTAAAACCCGCCACTCAACTAGAAGGGTGTCCTATCGAACCTAACTCAAGAGGGTATTATTTAGCCTAAACAGGTGATCAACAGGTGGACAACCAATGTTTAAAATGTATTTAAAATTTATG